AGAGAGAAAGAGAGAGAGAGAGAGATATGGTGTGGTGCTGCCGGATAAGCACTGGACTGCAAACCGCAAGGTCAGTAGTTCAAACCCACCAACTTCTCTTGGAAACCCTTCAGGGGGTCACTCTGAGTGGGATCTGACTTGATGGTACTTAAAAACAGCAACAATAAATAGACCTATATACTTCCAAAGGTGGGGTTTTCATCTCTCTAACCCTTGCTGTGCTTCAATGTGCTAGACTGCAAAGATGGTTTGGGCCACAAAGTCGGCAGTGTAAGCTCACCAGCTGCTCCTCTGGACTCCTATAAAGGGTCGCTGTGAGTCAGAACCGACTCGACAGCACTTAACAACAATGATAACATTTCCCTTAAGAATTCTACATTTTTTAATTTATACAACATCAAAATAGCAGTTTGCCATCCTTGAGGGGCTGAAATAGTGTTCCTTTTAAATGTTCTGCATTTGGGGAACAAAAAGTCTGAGGGGTAAGATGAGAGCTCTAGGGAAGATGGAGTAAGGTTTTACAACACAACTCCAAAACAGCCCTGTTGTTATGGGCCATGGAGTCGGTTCCGACCCACAGTGACCCTGTATAGGGTTTCAGAGGTTGTAAATCTTTACAGGAGCAGAAAGTCTCATCTTTTCCCCATGGACTCGCTGGTAGTTTCAAACTGCTAATCTTGAGGTTAACAGCCCGATTCGTAACCACTACCAGAGTTACTTAAAATAGCCCTAGCTACCCTCAAAGCAGGAGCTGGTGCACTGTTGTGATTCTGGGGGTGGGGAACATACATTTGGTACCACTTTTCTGGTCTTTTTATACCAATGCAGTTTCAACTTTCTTAAAATTCCTCCATACTAAGCCCTAAGGGCCATCCAATGTCTGAGAACATTTATTAAGATTACCCCCCTTAGGAATCCTGAGAAGCGAGTGCTATAAGCTTGTGAGCTGACCTCTCTGCCTTGAATTGAACTGACCTAGAAGATCCCCCCTGGAGATCCCATTGTGAACGGGCCTTGCTCTCTGAATCATATTGGTAAATCCAAGACTCGTCCTCAGTTACAATCGTCCCACAAAATCATCTTCCTTAGTTTCCAGCTTGTTGAAAAGACTAATAGAAGAAGCACCTCCTCAAGTTAGTAGATCTTTGTGTAATGCTTTTGGTTCTCATTGAACAGAAAGCTTTCAATTAAAATAGGAAATGCCAAGGCACGTGACACCTCAGCTTCTGTAGCTATTGCATGAACGGTAACTCTGTGGTCTTCTTCCACCAGTTTCAGGATTTCACGTTGACAGTCTTCCTTTCTTGGTTCATCTTTGAGGTCTTCCTGACCTCCCTTAAAACATCTGATCCATCTAAAAACTCATGTTTTATGTAGGGCAGCATTCCCATAATCTTGTGGCAAATCTACAGTGACTTGAGAAGATGTTCACTTGCATTTTGTTGAAAAGTTGATGTTAACTATGGCTTCAAAATAGGTTGTTTTTTTCCCCTCATGGCACAAAAAGTAGGTTTGTTGTTGCAGTTGTTTTAAAGCACCCTACAAGACTGAGGTCTGGTAAGTGTAGTGGTTAACGAATTGGGCTGCTAATCTCAGGAACAGCAGTTCAAAACTACCAGCTGTTCCACAGGAGAAAGATGAGGCTCTCTGCTCCCGTAAAGATTTACAGCCTCGGAAACCTTGTAAAGGGTCGTTATGAGTCAAAATCGACTCCATGGCACATCACCACCACCACAAGACTGAAGAGTCCTGATGTAATACTATAGGATAAGCACTGGACTGCTAATTACAAGATGAGTGGTTCAAACCGACCAGGCACTCCTCGGAAACCTACACAGGGTCAGTCAGCATGAGTCAGAACTAAGTCAACAGCACTTAACAACAACAGTAACAGCAAGCAGACGGAAACATGTGCATTACTGAGAGAACAACTTCGTAGCAATGCACTGATCCCAGAGACATGCTTAAACATCTTTTATTTAGAATAAGC